TTACTCACTCTTAAAAAAAACAAAACAAAACTCTACTGCATTTAACTCTTTGAGATTAGTAATAACTGATCTTGTACCTATACAAGACTAGTGCCAGATAAGCTGCTTTTTGAAGTAGTTCTGTAATAAGATATGACAATATTATAAAATCTATATTTTGTCATAAGCATCTTGGTGAGAGCTACAAACATAGTACTACAGAAAGAATGTGTGCTGTTAGCATGCAGTGCAAAGAAAAATACAGAGAATGGATACGTAAAAGACATTTTTGAACTGAAAGACTAGCTGGTAGGAAGGAGTAACACAGAAATGTCAGGTTCTCTGTGGTGTGACCAGCAGGGATTCCAAGGTGGAAAGAGGTTACATTTAGTATTAGTTTGCATTAGGAATTCTAACAGATTAAAACACTTCGTAAATTACATGGATTTGAATTCTGCTACCACTGCGCTAAGCTACCAATTCCCACGTAATTGTAGATAAATAGTACTTTGCCAATGTTCCCTTCACTTAAATCAAATATCTTCCATGCATATTTAATAAATAAAATATAAATCTTTTATTAATGAAACCTATACTTTTATTTACCTTTAAGAGGAGAAAAGTGACCTGTCTCTAATTTACTTAGAAAATTACACCAGGGGAAAATCAATGTCCACAATTTTTTATAGCATTTATAATTGATGTTCTAAGTTTTCACCAAATTTTTAGGATATCATAGATTACCTCCAAGGAATCTTTATGCTTTTCCCTCTCTTTATTGTATTTATTGCCCCACACTGGCAGCCAAATAGGGCTCATCATCTTAATATGTTACAGTAGATTTTTTTTTTTATGTAAGAACTGGAACCAGGACCTTACAACCAGGGATTTTCCTCAGATTCAGGTTCAGGTTCTGCTACCGCCTAAGGGACATGCTTTCCTTCCCCTCCCCCTTCCATCTACCATCCCCCAAATTGCCAGGCTTCAGAGTCCCATTGCAGTTGGGCTTCCACTCTGAAGCTCCATCTATTCGCCAGTTCAAATGGCCCCAGACATGCCGCCCTGGAACCCTGAACCGTCCAAGATGCCTGGGATCATCAGAAAGCCCTCTACCTCTGTGCTTCATAGCTTGAATCCTCCCCAACCCGTATTCTCTTTTGTCCTCCCTTTCCACTACATACTTTTTAACTCTCCTCTTAAACCCCACTTCAATCCAAGGTCTTTTCCCTTTACCTTCCCTCCATCTTCTTGTACTTACTAAAGCCTAAATTTTTCCTAAAAACACCGTATTTCTTAGCACTGTCTCTGAAAATGGATGCTCCATTTCTCACACTCACACACAAGGCCAGCAGACATTCCCTCTACTTTTATTACTCAGCAACCACCTCTTATCTTTTAAAGTTCATTCCATCCTATCCAGTTCTTTGTTGCTATCATCTATAGTACCACTCCAGGACACACACACACACACACACACACACACACACACACACACACACACACACACTCCTGCCTTAATTAGTTGTCTCACAATGTTCTTCTCTACCCTTCTTCCCTTTAAACATCGCAGTTCCCACAATCCGTTTCTAATGTGCTTTGACTATACACAGGAGTGTTCATATAGTAAACCAGCATCCCACCCCACTGGAATTCCTAGTTATGATTTTGCTTTAAAACATTGCAAGTCTTAGACAACAGTAGGATGTGGCACTGGGACTGGGAGTCTAGCCAAGATCAACAGGTCAGTGGAAAGACCACTAGTTAGGGAGTTAAAGATCTAGGTTCAAGGCCCAGCTCCAACACTTACTGTGTCAATTTGGTTTTCTCTTAACCTCACTGAGCCTCAGTTTCATCATCTACAGAATGGGAATAAAAATACACATACTTACTAATTCATAGTTTTGTTGTGAAGAAAGCAGTTAAACTCCTCTGGGAGTTCGGAGTGTCATCATCATTATTACCTACATGAGGATACTAGCCGCAAGACTCAAACTTTGTAGGTGATCAAAGGCTCCAAGAGCCAGGTACTCCCTCTATTCCTTCCACCATGACCAAGACTGGTTTCAAAGTGTCAGGGTGCTAATACTTCTCAGTGTTGTCAGTGGGAAAAGGAGCATATCCAGAAATTGAAATCAGTTAACTAGGAAAGGCTTCCTAAAGGAGGTATCACCTGAATTGAGCATTAAAAGATGTGAAAGATTTCAAAGGTGAGATAAAGAAGGGTGTATGCATTCTATGCACTGGAAAATTATTAAACAAATACACAAGCAGGGATGGGTCATGAAAGAGGAAGTTGTTTAATTTAACTGGAAGATAAAGAGGAGGAAGAAGAGTAATATGAAATAAAGATGGAAAGGTAGGTTGGCAACAGATTGTGGAAGGCTTAAATATCAGACTAATTTGTCAGGGATTTTTTTAACTTTATATCATTGTTTCTGAGTAGCTAAGCAACACAAGTTGTCAGATCTATGCAAAAGAAAGATTATTTTGGCAGATGTAGAAAAGATGGACTAGAAAAAGCAATGAGTAGAGGCAAAGTGACTCAGGAGGTGATGAAGGGCTGAATTGGAGTGGTCAATTTGGGAATAAGGAATGGATGGAGAGATATGGAAATAGAAGAAGAGAACTTGGTCACTAATTAGATGTGGATTGAGGGAGAAAAAGGAATAAAGTGCCAAGCTTGGAGTCTAGAAGACCTGGGTTCAAATCCCACTTCAGACGCTTACTACCTATGTGATCATAGGCAAGTCACTTATCTACTCTGTGCCTCAGTTTCTCCATCTGCAAAAAAATGATAGGGTTAGACTTGATGACCTATAAGGCCCCTCCTCTCTCTCTAAATTTTAAGGGTTAGGCTCAGAAACATGATAGCTTGAGAGGGTAGCAGAGTCAAGGGAAGGCTTTTGCTTTTTCTTTAAGTCTAAGGGATGATCAGATAAAAAGTAGAGAAACAGTAAAAGTGAAGGAGGGAATGACTGATGGAACAAATGTTTTAGGGAGTCAATAAGACAAGAATAAAAGGATTGGTAGACTACAGTGAAGAACCAGGTGAGATCAAAAAACATAAATTTATCGTATATACAGTCAGCATAGCACAGCTTAGTGTCTTCCTTCAACCATTCTATAAAGTGGGAGCAGAGAAGACAGATGGTATAAGTGAACCAAAGTAGGAAAATAACAAGGCAAGAATATCAGGCTTTCAAAAGAACAAGAAATGTGAGGGTAGAAGACAGTGACTTGTTGAGATAGTCCACTATAAAGTCAAGATGTTAAAGTAGATGAAGTGCAGTTATAACAGGGGTGATGGGCTGGAATAATAGGGCACAGGAGACAAAGAAAGTCACAGGAAGGGCAAAGAACAGATTTAGGATGGCAAAGATGAGAGTGGAAGAGGATGATGAATTTGGGTTTTCAGAGTTCTGGATCTCAGAGGAAGGGCAGTTCTGGTGATGACATGGTCTAAAGTCTGACTGTTCCATTTATAACATGAATTAGAATGAAGACCAAGCTCCTGGATAGGAAGAGATTAATGAATCAGGCTGAGGGGTTATGAGGGTCAACAACATGAAGAATAAAATCAACACAGATGATGGAGGAATTGGTACAAAGAGAAAAATTAAGAAGAAGCAAAAAGAATAGGAAATGTGAAATAAAACATCAGCATGTGAGGTAGTGGTCAGAGAAGCTTCCTGGAAAGCATGAGACTTGACCCAAACCTTGAGGATGAGTGGACTTTGAATATTCTTTGAGGAAAAGAAGGGCATTCCAGCTAAGGGAAACAATTATGATGAAGTGAAGGCAAGGCAGAAGAGTTTGGACTTTATCTGGAAAATAAAATGGAGTTTGGGGAATTTCATAAGGTGAGGAGGATAACATGATAGAAGCAAAATTTAAATTACTTTGAGGTGGCTGTAAGTTGATGAACTGGAAGAAAACGAAACTAGGGGTAGAGATGCCAGTTAGAAAGCTGACTATTGTGAAGTTGGAAGCTGTCATTATCATACTATGAGGTTATGGAGATCTGACTGAAGTACTGACAGTACAAATGGGAGGAAATTGGTGAATTAAGAGATATTTTGAAGGAGGAAGTGATAGAATTTGGTGAAATATTGAATAAAGGGGTGAAAAAATAAAAAAGGGCCAAAGATAACTCCACAGTTTATGGCATGGTTAGGCCAGAAGAATGATATTCAGGAGAACAGAACTGATTTTTTCAAAATTTTGTCTAAAGAAAGTCCAAAGTTTGTGACTACCAGAAGAAAAATCATAAGATCATTGATCTAGAGCTAAAGGGACCTTAGAGGTGATTTAGTACTACTCTCTACCTTTCCAGATAAGGAAACTGAGTCTCAAGGATGTTAAATAACTTACAAAGTTCATATAAGTAGTAAGTGTTTGAGGCAAGATTTGTACACATGTTCTTTGACTCCAGGGTCAGGGCTGTTTCCATTGTACAATGCACAATTAATCATTTCTGATTTTATCACAGAATTAAATGCACAAGAAATTAAATTTTAACTTTCAAATTAGCTAACGATGCCTACCAGTGAGGCCCGAGGAATAACAATAGTTTCTGCCAGAGTTAGAAAGTGAGCTTTTTGAATATAAACCTAAAATATGAAACTCTTATAAGGGAAGGCAAGGGTAAATAAGAGAAGGGAAGGGGATTAAATGAAATGACATATTTGGGCAAAATATTTTATGTTCTGAAATGAAATTTTGTAAATAGATGGTTCCAAGGGTAGGGCATCAGATTGTGAAACAACAAAAACTTCCTTGCCTGCCTTCATAAAAATATGCTATTTTTCAATGATGCATTGAGTTACACATATTTCTAGAGGTTAGAATCCACACATTTTTATATTCTTTGCTAAAAAACAGTTTTGGATTTGTTTGCTTTCCTTCTGAATGTAGGAGTGCTTGGCACAGTATTGGAGATAAGTCATTGTTTTAAGAAAGAGAAGAATACTTTTAAAAAACACAAGATTTTTGAGAGACTTGTTTTCCTTTTTTTCCCCCAGGTGACATTTACAAAGAGGAAATTTGGGTTAATGAAGAAGGCTTATGAGCTGAGTGTTCTATGTGACTGTGAGATTGCGCTAATCATCTTTAACAGTACCAACAAACTGTTCCAGTATGCCAGCACGGATATGGACAAAGTGTTGCTGAAATACACAGAGTACAATGAGCCACATGAGAGCCGAACAAATTCAGACATTGTGGAGGTAAGAATTAAGGATTTGTGGGAGTAAAGCTTTCACAGAATTGAAGGACATCCACCAAATGTTTACATTGCATCTGAACTGCAAGACTTAATTCTCTTTTCAGAGTGTAGTTGCATCAAAAGCAGTAGGGGAAAAAATTACATAAAACTGATGCTGTTATGGTTGATTGTTTATTTTTTATTTCTTAGTTATATAGTTGGAATTCTAGAGGAAATTATTCATTTAAAATTACATCACACAGTTAGGAGCTGATATTTGGTAGATAAATAATTCTAAATGTTTGTTGTAGCAAAGTATTTTTTTTTACAAAAATTATTTTAGATTGAATATATTGCATTAAGAATTAATGTAACAGATTTTCAACACAAGTGTTTTAGTTGTCTGGCATGTTCAGGATTTCATAGTCTTCATCCTGAAGGTAACCTTGTCTAGAAAGGAGGATGATATATCCATTAATAACTATGATATGCAAGTTAATGTATTGCTATATACTAACAGAGAGAAGTTCTAGAAAAAAGTAGCATGAGAGACTCAAAAAGAGAGGAATACATCAGGGAAAACTGTGTAGAAGAAGTGATGACACCTGAGCTGGCCTTGAAAGTCAGATCCATAAGGCTTATGAGCTGAGTGTTCAGTGTGAGATGGGAGAGTCTATTCAAGACCAGAGGTCAGGAGGGGGGGCTAGCAGACAACATGTGCAAATGTACGTGATTGTGGGAGAGGGGGAAGAAATTACATGATGCCGGAAAATAATACCAAGCATTAGGTCACAATGGCAAGGATAACAAAAATTTATGATAACTTGTTCACAGTTGGTCTACAAGAACTACAGTTAAGTGTTTAGTTTTAAAATGGCTCTGGATCACGGGCAGCTAGGTGGCGCAGTGGATAGAGCACCGGCCCTGAAGTCAGGAGGACCTGAGTTCAAATCTGACCTCAGACCAAACACTTGGCACTTACTAGCTGTGTGACCTTGGGCAACTCCTTAACCCCAATTGCCTAAAAAGCAAAAAAAAAAAAATGGCTTTGGATCACCTACCAAATGGTCTCAAGGATTTATCTTCATGAGCAGAAAATACTAGGAAAGAAAGTAAAAGATGCAAATTTTTCCAATTTTATTAGCTTACTCTTTTTACTCGTCTTCTCCTAGGTCTTGATATTTTTCCTATTCTCTTGGAATATTTTGAAAAATTAATTCCTGCCATATTTAGTCTGGGTCTATACTAAGGAAATAATAGTAGTATTTGTTCAAACAGAATTAATCATCCCATAGTTCTCCCTCCTACATTCTTCCTCCCTTCAACAGTTAAGTGGTTTTTTAACTTTATTATTAATAACGGTTATTACTAAAAGTTATTTTGAAGTTTACAATGAATGTCAAGCATATAAATGTTCTACATTCCAAGACTAAGCAAAAAAAAAAAATGTAACTTTAGGGAACTAAAAGTAAATTATGAATAGCCTTCATGCAGTATGCACTTAAGAGTTCTTGCAGGTACACATTTACAACATTTCATTCAAATTGTCCCTTACAAATATTAAATTAAAAGTTTATACTTAACTGAAAAGTACTTAATATTTTGAGGAAATTGTAATATTTTCCTGCTGTTTCCTAAAATAGTATTATATTTATATGTGTATCTATATACATATGTCTGAATATATATGTATATACTATATATATATATATATATATATATATATATTATATAGTATATACATATTTAGATAGATAGATAATATAAATACTTCTTTTGTTGTTTTTCTGGACCTGTAATTTCATTAGTGTCTGAGAACTTCCAGTATGTAAACTCCCTCTAACAGTGCCCATTGGCAACTCTTATATAACTTAGAGCCTTAGAAAATTGCCTGGGCTATTGAAAGGTTAAAGGACTAATTCACTGGCAGAATGCCAACATGTCACAGGTCTTCTGGATTCCAGTGCTCTATATCCATGATGCCATACTGCTTCTGTATGTAAATATATAAATATATGACTTTTGGAAATGATCAGTTTATGGTATAGTCCATTCTCATGGTACTCTTATTTTAAGTGTCTATATACAGGTCAAAAATATTATGTTAATCAATCAGTCAGTCAGTAAGAATTTGTTAAGTACCTACTGTGTTGTCGGTATTGAGCTCAGTCTTGGGGTACAAAAAAAAAAGGCAAAAGACAGTCTCTGCCATTGAGGAGCTCATGGTTTAATAGGGGAGACATTAAGCCAACAAATACGTACAAACAAGTTATCTACAGGATAACGGGAAATAACAGAAAGAAGGCATTAGAATTAAGAGAGATTGGGAATGAGATCCTATAGAAGATGGATTTGAGCTGGTACTTGAAGGAAGCCAAGGAATACTATTAAGACAAAGTCTTTCATTTTTCAACACCATAGCTCATTTATATCAAGTAATATTTAATGCTTTGATATTTCATCTTGGTGTGAAGGTGGAATTAAGATCTCAAAGGACATAAAATTAGTATTTGAACTCTGACATTTCCTACTAAGCTAGAAAGGCTTGGTGTATATCCTTGGTAAAGTGCATCATCTCCTAAATTCAAACAAAATCATCACTGGAAGTTTGACCAAAAGTAGATGAAGTTTTTGGCCCCAGCAATTCATGAGAACAACCTAAGACATCAAGGTCTACATCAGTGGGGTAATGAGCCCATGCTGATGAAATTACAGATCCTAGAAATATTACAGGCTTTTAAGTACAGAATATTAAATAAAATTCAACAACATAATTTCAGGACAATACAGGAAGTTGTTTAGGTCCTTGAAAATTTTTATAATAGGGTTTAATTTTTGTTGTTTAGTCATGTCAGACTCTTCATGACCCCTTTTGGGATTTTATTGCAAAGGATGCTGTAATGGTTTACCATTTTCTTCTCCAGCCCATTTTACAGATGAGGAAACTGAGGCCAGCAGATTTAAGTGACTTGCCCAGGGTCACACAGCAAGCAAATGTCGGATTTCAAAGACTCCAGGCCCAGGATTCTATCCACTGAGCTAGCTTAAATCGTAGCTGCTTAAATCCTAGCCGTTTAACTTTTACCATTCCTTAAAGATTAAGTTAAATATAGGAAAATTATTTTGATTCAAGTATAGGAAGGTACTCCTGCTTCCTGTGTGTTTCGTGGTCAGTTTTTAAGAGTTTAACACATACGTGAGGTCTCTTTTTGGGGACACAGTTAATGGAGTACACAAGTCCTCCTAGACGGCTTAGAAGCACTTAATCACTGTTCATTTGCCGTTTCCTTTTACAAATGGAGATTTGGAAAGCTTTAGGACTAAAGAGGCCGTTAGAGCTTCTTCAGTCTAACATCACCACACTAAGCATTCTGAACCCAGAGAAAGTATGATCTGGAGCTTCTAGGTCACACTTTCAGAATGACAACGAATTGTACGTTGTGGGATATTGATCTGAGAACATGCCAGTAATTTTTATGATTTGTAAAAACAAAATGTATCAATAATTTTTTAAAACATTATGGTGAGTTAAATGCATTGAGCCTTCTTAGCCCAACTAATTCCTGGCTTCTCTGCCTTCCTTCAAGCCTCAGCTAAAATCCTGCCTTCAGGAAGTCTTTCCCAGTTCTGCTGACTCCTGGTGTCTTTCCTCTAAGAGTATTTGCAGTTTATCCCGTATGTGCCTTGTTTATACATGGTTGTTTCCAGTATGTCTCTGCCGTTAGATTGTAAGCTCCTTGAAGGCAGGGATTTTTGTTTTAATATCCTCCGTGCATTTCTCGGAACATTGCTGTTCATTCAATCATGTCCAACTCTTTATGACCCAGTGGACCATAGCACACCAGGCCTTCAACCTGACGGGCTTTTCTTCCAATGTCATGCATTTTAATATTGCCCATAGGGTTTTCTTGGCAAAGTTACTGGAGTGGTCTTCCATTTCCTTCTCCAGTGGATCACTTTTTGTCAGAACTGTCCACTAGGACCTGTTCCTCTTGGGTAACACTGAATGGCAGAGCTCATAGTTTCATTGAGCTGTGCAAGATCCTCTGCCATAATAGGGCAGTGATGCAGGAGGGCTTTGGCACAGAGCAAGCATTTCATAAGTGCCTTGTTGATTAAACTCTAACATGGCAAAAGTCTGCCTTGACCAGTCTTGTAAAGTAGCTAAGGAGATCATTCAGGAAAGGAGAGAAGAAAGGATGGAGGTGGGAGAACCAGTCACATTGATAGAATTTCTACACTTGGACAGAAATTGATTGTGAAGGTTAGAAGACATGGAGAGTCTGGCTTGTGGGGAAAGAAGTCCCTGAGAAATTAGTTTCCAGATAGATTTAACAAAATCGTGAAATTTCCATAATCTTGCTGCTACTAGGTAAAGTTTTCAATCTTGTTTATCTGCAATAAAAGGATTATAACTGAATGGCGTTAAACAGCAGGAGAGTTCTAGCATGAAGGGTCATTTATTATGCTTCTTCCCATTTGGACTATTATCCCTACTCCCAGCCCCCCAAATTAGTTTATTCACAAGGAAAAAGAGAAAAACCACACTGTTTCCAACATTCAGACTGAAATATAAGATCCCTGGGCCATGCTACAGACAGTGTTGCAGGGTCAGAGGAAATTGTGCAGTGCGTGGGTGTTGAAAAAGATTCTTCTCTTAACAAAAAAGCTCTGCGTAATTATCATGTCTTTGCTTGATAATTAGCACTACTGTTACAGTGGCACAAAGACTCACAAAAGCTTAACGAGAAGACTGCAATCGTTTTGGTTTTTTTCCCCCCATTCTGAATGCGGTTTGAATATATGTTTAGATACAATATATAAATGTGTCGGATTGGGTAAATGTGCTAAATTTTTAATCCATTGGTTTAAAAAACAAAAACAGCTGTTGTATTTAAAGCATTTCCTTTGAAGGAAGTCCGTTTCATTTAACTTCACTGACATTAAGAAAGAATATTTACCTTTGTGTGTAAGGTTATTAAAATGCTATAAGAATTCTGAAGATATTAATGGGCCATGTCT